ATTTTTCACGTATATATATATATATATATATATGTGTGTTTGTGTATTTTTTTTTTATTATATTTAGGTAGACATTTGGTCACTTGGTATTACTTTAATAGAATTCGCACAAATGGAACCACCAAACCATGAAATGTCTCCAATGCGTGTTCTTCTTAAAATACAAAAAAGTGATCCACCCAGACTTGATCAACCTGGAAAATGGAGTAAAGATTTCAATGACTTTATTGCAAAAGCTCTTATTAAGGATCCAACATCACGACCTACAGCTGATGAATTATTGAAACATCCATTTATAAATCGTAATTTGGATTCAAAACCAATCAGAGATTTATTATTGGAATATAAAGCTGATGTTGTTGAGGAGGAATTAGTCGACGAAGAAACTGAGGTAGTTTCTAATTTTTTGTTATTATTTATTTGTATTTTTCTTTTGATGATTAAAAAACGATGCAAATATGAAAATTTTTTTTCAAACAATTTTTTTAATCTTATAAAATATTCAAGCAATCTTTAAGGAATATATTAGTATAATAACATTTTGCAACTCTTTAATTTCTACAATATATTAATTTCTACAATTATCTAATAATATATTAAGTTTTATGATGATAATATGTATATACGTTGTTACACGCTTTCATTTTGATAGAAGGCCAAAAAAACGAAAAAACACAGAGAACAGTATCAACGGATTGGTAAGCTGCTTTTGAGCAAATCGTATAAATTGAATTCTACAAATATAATAGATGTTTTGAAACGATCAAAAAATGAAAAATATTCATTTGTATTCAAAGAATTTATAATATCTGTAATTAAATATTTTTGTGTATGTAGTCATGTAAATTTTTGGAATAAATTTCATCTCATTTTCATAAAACGTACAATTACTCTTTGTTATATTTACGCATGATGGACATGCATAAAATTTTAAGAAAATTCATGCATGTGGTATGTGTTTGTAAATTTTTTTTTTTTTATTTGTAAAATTAATATAGTAATGTTATTTTTATTTAAAATATATGAATATTTGAATTATCATTTATCGTTTCTTACATATTATTATTTGAGATCATAATTATAAATATTTTGCCGAATTTCTTTTTTTTCTTTGAACATTTAATCTAATGATATCCTAATAAATATGGTATTGTAATTTGGATAATTTGGCTGTGCATGCGGCTCTCCTGGGCCTCGCCAGCCCCATCATCCCTGCGTTTGTCAGGTCAGTAGCTTATGCAATAAATGTTGTCTAGTTTGATTTAAAGTATTTTTTATATATATTATTACAATTTGTTGCTATCTTTTTCTTTTTAAACTGTAATGCATAAGCTATTTATATTATATTATATTCATATAACTTTTAAATATTAAAAAATAATGTTCATTATAAATATATAATATTGATTTTTATAAAAATAGTTAATAATTTGAGTTCAGTTTTAGTTAATCATTTTATATTAGTTAATTATTATTATTTCATATTAATATAAAATAATAATTTTTTTATTTTTATATTATTCTAATAGTTTCTTAATTTTATATATATATATATATATATAATGATTTTTAAATATTATATTTTTTATCAATTTGAATATTATTTATTATGAATTGTATCGTGTATAAATTATATAATTATATATAAATAAAAGAAAAATATAAATTTCAGGAGCAACGCACGTCTCAGCTTCCTCTGGAGCTGGATCAACTCGGAGATGACTCTGCGTCTATGCGCAGTGACGCTGATGTTCAGAGTAAATATGATCAATAATATATAAATTAGATGCTGATAAGAATTATAATTAATTATATATATTTGTTATTACTTTCTTTTTCTATTTTTTTTTTTTCTAGTTTCTGAAAAAGAAAATCTTGTTGCATCACCTGTGTCTGCAAAAAAAGAAGAAAGTCATAAACGAGAAATTAACAGAGATGGTGAAAGAGAGGATAGAAACAAGAAATTACGTAAAGCGGAATCAAAAGATAATATAACCGTTTCTGTTGAGAAAAAACAACAAGTATATATTTTTTTTTAATTAATTTTTGATATTTTTATATGTAAAATTAATAATAATATTTTAATTTTATTTTTAGGCACCTAAACCTCCTAATACAAACGAAACGAGCGAACGTAGAGTATCTCGAGAAAAAGGTCCTGCGCCTCCTCCACCACTTATGCGTCAAAATAGTAAAATTGAAGATAAGGAAAATAATATAAAAGTTGTCGATAAACAAAGTAATAAAGAAGTATTAAACGAATACAAGGTTATTGATAAGCAACAAAAAGATAGAAATGAATCGTCGCAATTAGATCAGGAAATGTTAGGCAGGGAACAGACAAATGTAGATACGCTTTGTGAAAAAACAAACGTATTATCTAGTTTAGAAAAAATTATATTAGAAAGTAATGAAAGAGAAAAGAATAAGATAGATGATGCAAACAAAAATGATATTAAACAAAGATTGATAGATGATAAATTGAATTTATCATCGAGGACACAATTAACATTAGAGGAGAAGAGAAAGTCAGCACCGGTTAAATTAGAATTAATCGAAGACTGGACGAAACCAGTATTCAATAAACAATCATCGTTGGAAGAAAAAAGCAGGTATTTATTTCTACTTAACCTCTTTTAAAATATAATTTGTTTTGTAGAATCTTTAATATAAGTTATTTATACGGAAGACCCTTCATTTCAGAATCGAGAAGAAAGCACCAATTGATACACAAGTTAAAAGACAATCTTCATCGGAAGAAAATTATAAGAGTTTGCAAGAAAAACGAAAATCTGTAGAGCAAAAATTAAATGCAGTTTTAGAGAAACGATTTTCAATGGATACTGAAATGCGAATGAGTGTTTCTTCTATGGAAGCATTATCTCATCGAGAAGTTTTAACAGCAAGTACATCCGAAAAAAATATCGTTAAGGCTTGTTCGATCGAAGATGTTAAAACGGATTATGGAACGTCTAAAACAGAATCTGTTATCAAAAGTCATAGCGAAGGATCTTCCAGATACGTTTCATTAGAAAATTTTCCCGATGAATTTGACGGGAAACGGGATAAGAAATGGCCAAGTAAAGAACACAATTATGAGAATGTGGTGAACAATGGTGATAGCGTAAACTGTGAGAAGAAAGGTTCTTCGGTGAATGTATCAGTAATTACATCAACTCCTATTAAAAATACTTCGAGAAGAGGTAGCGGAGATAACGTAGTTGTCATTACTGGTAAAATAAAAAAATTACTTTATTTATGCTTTATATCATGCATGTATCAATTTAATGTTTCAATATAAATAATATAATATTTTATATTAATTTGATTCTTATTTTAAAATTAATAACTGTGTTAAATTAAATGCAATAATTGTTAATATTATAATATTTAATTTAATTTTTTTAAGGTAAATCCGATCAAGAAATACGTCCAAATACATCAACCGTCCGGATTACAGCAGATAGTCCAGATTTATCGAATAGTCTTGCGAGCAATGTTAGTCAAGTAACAGTGGTAACGACGCATCCTCCGGTTCTTGTCGATGCTATGTCATCATTAGCAGCGACCCTTTCTTGTCGTCAACCTCCAACATCGGAAGTTATTATCGTCGCGAATGAATTAAATAAAACGCAAGTGAACGAAAGTTCAACCGATGATGATGGATTCCCAAGTTTAGATAGTTTAGAATACATGCCTCAAGAGCAACCTATAATTCTTACCGACGTTTCTAAAAGAATTGGTAAGAAGTTAGATGAATCCGAGGTTCTCATTGTTAGTCCAATCGTAGACGAATTGCAAGATACTAGTCACGTTTCCGTTGTTACCGTCGGTGATGATAAGGAACAAGTGAAAGATTCCTCGATACTTAATAAACACGAAGCCGTACGAACTTCTTCTTCTCACAGTGATACAAGTTTAATCGAAAGATCGAGTACAAAAAGCGACAGCGGCGATGAAATTACTAAAATGATAGTCGCTGGGACAACTATAGAATCCATAGATATCGATGATGTGGAGAGAAATTCGAAAAAGGTGAATGGTCTGTTAAAAAATGATAAATCTGCAATTGTTGATCGTATAGATGAGAAAGTTTTAAAAACGCTCAAACAGAAAGAAATAAATAAAGGATACAAAGAGAAGAGAGTATCCCCGGATAGCTTTGAAGGATCTAGATCCCAAAGTGAATCCGGTTCGACGAGATCACACACGCCGAGTAAAAGTATAGATCGTTCCGATGCCGAATCCATTTCAACCACGATAAGCCAGGACAGTAGAGAATCTAGTAAAGAGAATCATTTGAGTCAAGGGCAATCTGGGGAAGTAGACGAGGAGGTAGTGTTGCGACGGAAGTCGGATTATAATCGCGAAATACAACGACCAACGAAAACAAAAGAGGATATTCAAATGATGAATTTGAAGAAAAAAACGAGAAAAAGAACCAGAAAATTTGAGATTGATGGTGTAGTGGTAACCACGACGACGTCGAAGGTAATTTACGGCGATGACGAAAACGGAAAAGTTTACGATGATCAAATTTTTAGGAAGCAAGAGTTAAGGGAATTAAAAATGCTACAGAAAATGGAACAGAAACAGTTTCAAGATTTGTCGCAGAAGGCACAGTTCAACAAAGATCAGCAAGACAAGCGTTTCGAGCAAGAGAGACAATTGCTAGAGAGAAATGCTGAAACTGATTTGGAAACACTTGCTCGCCAACAAAGGCAGCAAATCGAACGAGCAGAAGCGCAACAAGAGGCTGATCTCAGGCTTGCTTCGAAAAAAATACGTAGCGAACAAGAGAGGGAATTGAAACAATTTCGCGAAGGATTGAAACAGGAGTTAAAACTACTTAAGCAAGAGGTGGACTTGATGCCGAAAGATAAGAGGAAGAGCGCGTTTAAGATACGTAAAGAGAAATTAGAGGCTGAACACGAAGAAAGAGAGAAACATTTCTTAGATAAGCTTAACGAAAGTCATGAATTATTGTTGAGAAGATTGTCCGATAGTCATCGCGAGAAAATTGCTTTAATGGAAAGACAATTTTTGCAACAAAAGCAACAGCTAATGAGAGCTCGGGAGGCAGCCATTTGGGAGCAAGAAGAACGGCACATACACGAGAAGCAACAATTATTAAAGAAACAATTAAAGGACATTTTCTTCTTGCAAAGACATCAGATGTTGATACGCCATGAAAAAGAATTGGAACAGATGAAGAGAATGAATCAACGGAAGGAAGAAGAATTGATTAAACGACAGACGGTGGAACGTAGAAATTTACCTAAAAGAATTCGCAACGAGATGAAGGCACGCGAAATGATGTTTAGGGAATCTATGAGGATTTCCATGTCCTCTGTTATCGCACCAGATCCTGATGCCGAGAGAGAAAAATTAAAAAAATTCCAAGAGAATGAGAAAAAGCGGTATAGAGCCGAGCAGCAAAGATTCGAATTAAAACATTCGCGGCAATTGGAAGAGGTAAGAGCGCAAAGTGATGCCACTATCAAAGAATTGGAACAATTACAGAATGAAAAGAGGAAAATGTTAATGGAGCATGAAACGCTGAAGCTAAAGGAATTAGAAGAGGCGTATGCTAAAGAGCTTCGCGAATGGAAAGCGCAACTCAAGCCTCGAAAGCAGGTAAATCTATTTCTTCTTACTTTTTTATTTTCCATATTTTTCTTCGTTCTTTCTCTTATTCTTCTTCTTCTTTTCTCTTCATTTATCTCTTTTTTTTTTTGTATGTTTTTTTCTTTCTTTTTCTCCCCTTCTTTATTCATTCTCTTCTCAATTATATCGTAGCAATATCATAGGTTTCTATATTATGAGGCTCACGTGATGACCAGCGCGGGGAGAGATACGAATCAATTATTAAATTATAAAAGAAGCATTCATACTGAAATAAGCTTAATATACTTGTTATAGAAGTTAGAAGCTGTGCTGACGGCTGAAATGGAAGCGTTGGAAGTTCGTTACCGAGACTATTTGCCCTCGAGTCTTAGTGGTCTCTCTTCTCCCCTTTTAGATTGTTCTTCTCTGTTTAATTTTGAAAGTTGGAAGAAATCTCCGCGTTTACCTCGCTCTACCCCAACATCCCCTTCCCCGTTTACCATTCCAAGGGTGTCGCTAAGAGTTGGTGGTTTGGACACCGGTTCCGTTAATGGCATGCCTTCACGAAGTCAATCCAAACCAGATCTAGTACCGTCTCCCTCATCTCGTAGATAGTATTCCGAAGATCCTCTTGTGTCTCCTCCCAAATATTTTCGTTATTCATAGAGAGAAGTTTCGAGATAAATTTCTATTCTATTCTGTTTATCATTTTATTTCTTTTATAATTACTTACAATTATTCCTTATTTTTTTTTTTTTCTCTAATTAATCAAACTTACTTAATTATTTTCTTACAATCTAATCACTATTTCGAAATTTCTCTTATTAAAAATTATGCTTTTGTGTATTTAAGGGTATCATTTTACTCATGCCCGCTTTACTCACCGTTGCTTCAATTATATAGCAATATTTATCGTCTCTTTAAATGCTATTATTATATTACATGTATATATAATTTACGTTTACGTATGAATGTGTCCCCCAATATGCACACACGTATATTTAATATATTTTTACGTAACCAAT